AAAACCTTAAACTGGACAATAAAGTTGACTGTTAGCCACTGCAACGAGGCTAACATAGGGGAAACACTGACCTGCCTTAGTCCCAGTCAGAAGCCTACAGTAGCTGCTGCATTTTTTTAAAAGACGATTCAACAAAACAGCAGGAAGCCCCAGGTACAGAGTTAGAGTATTGACATGATAAAATCCTGCATAACCTGTTTCAAATCAGCAAGCGATAGGAATTGTTTTATTTTTTAAATATTTCTTAAATGAAAGTAACCAGCCTTAACCACCGATTTGACCTGCTTATCTGAGCAGATGATTACTGATGATTCATACACACTACATATACAGGAAAGGTCAAACAATACCATTTCTGTACTTAGTACTACGGGAAAAAACACCTTACTTATATTTATATCACTGCTTAGGCAATTGTCCTCATACTTTTTCTAGTCCACTTTTCCCAGTTTAACAGAGAGTTCAATTAGACACAGATGGAAAACAACAGAAACATGGATGGACCTACAGAAAAAAGTCTAGTCTGATAACTACTTTTTCAGTTCACCAGATTCAATCCATTTACCTGTTTGCATTTGTCCTCTGCACCTTTCTTGTCTATCTCGGACTGTTCTGCACGATCTATGGCATTCTCCTTGTCTAGCTTCAGCATCTGCATTTTCTTCTTGATGGCCTCCATGGTTGATTTCTAGGGTTTCTGCTAGCAGCCGAGGAGAAAGAGGAGAGCTTGTTCAGAGAGTGGAGGCAGAGACGGACAAAGCTGAGTGCACAGCAGAGAGGCGGCTGGAATCCTCTCCAGAGGAACTCTGGTCTTTTTTGGAAACTTCTCTAAAGTCTCTGGGAGAGTGACGTCCCCCTGCTCTGATTCGTCCTGCTGAATGGGCTCTGCATTTGACCCTGTGATTTTGTCCATGTTTGGGAGGCTCTGAATCCTCCATCTCCAGTTATACTGAGGTCAGGATTATTCAAGCACCCTAGGGAAAAAAACAACAACTGATGTACATTAACTACATTAAACACTATGTCTATATAGTTTCTTTAATCTCTACAATATGCTGTATGACTTATGACTTAAAGGTAATGTTCTCAAAAACACTTTCACTGCCTGCACAACGATTTCCTCTTCCCACCTATTTCAGTCATATAATTTGCCAACTGTGTTCAATGGTGCGTTATATTGACATTGTGATGGTTTTTGAATGCTAGTACTTTCTTTACAAACACATGGCATAAAATGCTCAATTTGTGTTTGCAGTTTTTGAAAGAACAAAAAATTGATTTAAGTGTCAAGGCAAATGAGAAATACTGCTTGGTCATGTTCCAAGGATTTTCAAGCTTGCAGTTATTAAACCGCTTGTAAAGAAGGCACAACTTCGTTTTGGTTAATTGTAGAACCATCTCAAAACTTTGATTTATGTCAAAAACACTAGAAGATTACATTAGCATTTGTGGGCAGGCATGTTCAGATTCTCAGATCAGTACCATTTTGTGTGTAAATGAGGAATTGTCAAACATAAAACAAGTTAAGTATATGGGGTACCACAAGGCTCAGTCTTAGGTCCTCATGTATTCATTGTTCATGCTCCCTTTACGTAATGTTATCATGAAACAAAGCTTTCATTGTTATGCTGATGACAGTTAGCTTTACATTTGTTAGTTTGTTTATTTGTGTAGCACATTTAAAAACTTATTAGGTTGGCCAAAGTGCTTTCCATTAAAAACACCATTTAGAAAAACAAGACGACAAAAAAACAAAAACAACATTTCACATAAAAACATTTAAAACTCAAGACAACCAAAATATTCAATAACAAGCTCGACCAAATTCTTGGGCAAGTAGATGCCCTTTTAAACAAGACTGAAAATGACCCAGTGTCATACAGCATCTGATCTCCAGGGGCAGGTTATTCCAAAAACGGTGTGCCGCAACTTAACTTGCTTAGACTTAAGCAAGATTTAGGGACCTTTAACAGCAATTTTTGTGAAGACCTTAATGGCCGAGTCGTAGAGTGAAATTGAATCATATCTGAAATGTATTCAGGTGCTAGGCCATGCAAAGCTTTAAAAACATACAATAAAACCTTAAACTGGACACTAAAGTTGACTGTTAGCCACTGCAACGAGGCTAACATAGGGGAAACACTGACCTGCCTTAGTCCCAGTCAGAAGCCTACAGTAGCTGCTGCATTTTGTAAAAGACGATTCAACAAAACAGCAGGAAGCCCCAGGTACAGAGTTAGAGTATTGACATGATAAAATCCTGCATAACCTGTTTCAAATCAGCAAGCGATAGGAATTGTTTTATTTTTTAAATATTTCTTAAATGAAAGTAACCAGCCTTAACCACCGATTTGACCTGCTTATCCATTTTAAACTCCGAGTCAAAGACCACTCCCAGGTTTCTTACTTGCTTCTGCACATTTGAGGCAACAGGACCCAGTTTAACATGTGCACAGATGGCCTAATAGAACCAATTATTAGGCATTCTGTTTTGCCTCATTTAATTTTAAGTTCTTTAATTGTAAATTCTGTGCCATCTAATAATTTAATCTCATACAGGCAGTTCATCAGATCATTTAATCCATCATCTGTTTTCAATGGAAGGTACAATTGTGCACCGTCTACACAATGATATCCAATATTATATTTCTGACAGATAGAACCAAACAGAAACATGTATATAGAAAATAGAATGGGCCCCAAAATTGATCCCTGGGGAACCCCACAAAAACAAACTGCAGAATCACAGAAATGATTTCACAATTGAATTACAGAACTTCTGTCCTTTAAATAAGAACAGAACCATTTAAGAACATTTCCCTGAATGCCTGCCCATTGTCTTAATCGCGTTAAAAGAATATAGTGATCAATTGTGTCAAATCAAATACTGCTGTAAGATCAAGGAGAATCAAAATGGCACCCTTTCCTGAGTCGGCTGCAAGCATCAAGTCATTCTTTACTTTTAAAAGGGCAGTTTCAGTACTGTATTTTGACCTAATACCAGACTCAAATTGATAAAAAAATAAATTTTTATACAAAAAAAAAAAAAAGAAGATCAGCTGATGATAAACAGCCTTCTCTAATATTTTTGCTAAAAAAGAAAACAAAAAAATCAGATGATAAATATTTAAATGTGTAGGTTTTTTGAAAAGAGGGTGTATTACCGCATGCTTTAGGCAGGATGGAACTATAGCGTTGGCTGGACTACTATTTATAATTATAATACATACAATCGTTGGGCCAACAACATCTAGAAGATGAGATGGAATGACATCGAAGGCACAGTTTGTAAGTTTTAAATCGTGAACTATATCTACTTAATTTGAAAGTGAGAGGATATTACATGCAGTATCAAGATAAAATTAAGCCTTTTTTTCAGATTTGTGCCAAAAAAAGAGGAATAATTGACGCAAAAACTTTTAAACATAAGCTGTAAGCATGTTATTTATGATGATTGCTGTTACCTTCTCTACAGTGTCACACTTGGCAGCAAATTTTTTAAAACCACTTTTCCAGTTTTGTAGAAAGCATTCTTCTACTACTGGAATATTTCTGTTACCATTTCTTTGTCCCCGATAGAGAAAGCTAGTTCATGGGTTATCCCCGGAAGACTGGATTTTTGTAATGTACAGTGCAGGCTGGATGTCCCACCGTCTCCATAAACAAGCTGCATGTGGTTCAAATGCAGCAGTTCTTATAGAAATTCTGATCATATATCATATCATTTCAATTTTAGAATAGCACCACAGGAGGACGTAGAGACATTCATATATTGCTCCTAAACTTTGGAATAGCTTTCCTGGTAATGTTTTGAACTCAGATACACTCTCAGTTTAAGTCTAGATTAAATACGAATCTCTGTAGATAAGCAAATAATTATTCACCTTGATATTTGAATGCACACGAAGTACGGATATTTTAAGTATGACAAAATGTTCATAAATTATGTTATTCGTGTTACCGGCCTATGCAAGTAAACCCTCCAACACCAGCATCTTTGTAAAAAAAGAAAAAAAAACACACAAATGCAATGGGAGATATTTGCAAAACAGTGAATTTATGAGTTTTTAGTTAAACACATCGACTAAGTGAGTTTGCTTATTTTAGGTGAGAAACTGATAACAGATAAATACACAATTATAAAATATAAAAGCAGGCAAGATTCAGAATATACTGAATGCAACAGGAAAGGCAGTAACGGTGAAAACTTAAATGGTTTATATATTTGATCTATTAATAACAGTCTTTATAATTTCTTAAAAACAGTTCTTTATAATAACTCTGATTATTATTTGATAAACAACCATGGTAATTAACCAATTCTTGTTACAAATCTTTTTTAATCTAATATTGTCTTGTCTACATCTGTGAGGGCATTACATCAGTAAATTACAACATTAAATTGTTGTACAACAGGAAGAAAAAAAAAACACACATTATAAAAGCAAAAATGGAAATATGGCTTTTAAGCTTTATAAAAGATATAATTTTGATAGAAATACCAGTAGACCAAGTTATCACAAAAGCAAACATTTATGCTGCAAAAACATTAACAGGAGGATACTATTTGTAACATTTCAAAGCTTTATTATTCTTTTATTTAGAAAATGATATGTTTTCTCTATGAATTGTTTAAACGCAAAGTTAATCATTGCACCACTGGTCCAAATTGCCATACAAAAAAATAAAAATAAAAAGGAAAAAAATTGAAAGTTCAAATGTTTTCTTGAAAAGCTTACAAACACTGTTTGGCCCCTGCCATGATCACGAGCTTTCAAAACACACTGCTCAACTAATTCATCTAGAAATGAAAAAAAAAAAATGTATAGATCTATTAGAAGAAATTAAAAAGGATTTGTATATGCTGCATATTATCCAAATACAACAAAACAATAAAGCGCTTTATAAAAGATATAATTTTGATAGAAATACCAGTAGACCAAGTTATCACAAAAGCAAACATTTATGCTGCAAAAACATTAACAGGAGGATACTATTTGTAACATTTCAAAGCTTTATTATTCTTTTATTTAGAAAATGATATGTTTTCTCTATGAATTGTTTAAACGCAAAGTTAATCATTGCACCACTGGTCCAAATTGCCATACAAAAAAATAAAAATAAAAAGGAAAAAAATTGAAAGTTCAAATGTTTTCTTGAAAAGCTTACAAACACTGTTTGGCCCCTGCCATGATCACGAGCTTTCAAAACACACTGCTCAACTAATTCATCTAGAAATGAAAAGAAAATGTATAGATCTATTAGAAGAAATTAAAAAGGATTTGTATATGCTGCATATTATCCAAATACAACAAAACAAAGTTGTCATGGCAATTCTCAAAAAAGTGACAGAAATAAACAAAACACTTTTAAAATAGACATCCTGATACATAGTTCACTTTTTACTCATTGCATATCATTAATTACTTTTCTCAAACTCTGAATGTCATTGATTAGTCTATGATGCGGCTCACTGATCCTGTCCATCCTCTCTGAGCTCTGACGGCAGGAACTTGTACTGTTGCTGTCGGATCATGGCCAGCTTCTTCCTGGCCTCCTCCAGCTCTCTCTCCTTCCTGAGCATCTCCTCCTGAGCAGCGATGATCTGAGGGCACACACACACACAGATGAAAATCCACAATGCATGCAAGATCTAGATGCAAAAACTCTACAGTTTATAAAGACAAAAGACAGGTGCAACGAACTGCATCAAAATGCACAGGAAATGCAATCATTTAACAATACAGCTATTTGTGCCTCAGACATGCAAACAAGCCTTTTGCTGGCTTTCCTATTTACATTTCTATTAATGATGGTGTTCCACATAAAGTACATATAAGTGATATTTCATTTGTTGAGCTTCAATGTTAAATACTTAATTCCATACAAAGAATGCAAAGGATGTTTGATAAACCCATAAAAATATTTTTCTATATTTACCCACAAAACAGTGAAGTTACAATGTCGAATTTAATAAATGCGTTACAAATTAATTGGTTGTTTATAGTAATTAACAAATGAACATTAAAACAACATTGCATGTGTCAATGAACTTTGACAGGAAACATGAAAGTGAAGGTAACGAACTGCATGCTTTAATTCACTATATGAAAAATGTCAGTTGTTGTGCTGGAAATGCTCTAACAAAACACACAGTTCATATACATCTAAATGTGCTAGTGTTTGACTTGTAACTGATATTCTCTTTACCTGAGCGATACCGCCCACCATCTTGCTCTTCACCATCACAGCCTGATCATCTTGAGCCTCAAACGCAGCCTTCTGAGCCGCCTTCACCAGGTTATCTGATGCCCTCTTGACGGCATTACCTGCGGCCTAAAGAAAGAAAAGACATGTCAAGAGTACTTTACACAGCATTCAACAAAACCCAATGAAACACACATTCTGCTCACAAGTACAAATTCTCTGCTTTAAGAAGGCCGAGACACTGAATCTCATCAAACTTACTTTGAAATACCTAAAGATGACTGTCACTGTTCAAATATGAGATACTGCAGTAATGCCAAGGTAACGGGGCTGATTCCTAGTATTAAAGCATTCTTTAATTGCTCTTGTCTTGGTGTTCATCATGGTGCATTTACATGTGCACTGTATTCTCACATGGCAGCCCCCTTGGAAATTTAGATTTGTGGCTAGAAGTACAACTACAGGTACAATTACTTTAATTTAGGGCTACAAATACAACTACTTTAATATGTGACTACAAGTACATTATAAATACAACTATTTTATTTTTTTGTCTGCAAGTACACTACAAATACAACTACTTTAATTTGTGGTTATGACTACTTAAATTTGTGGCTACAAGTACATTACAAATACAACGACTTTAATTTGTGGCTAAGACTATTTTAATTTGTGGCTACAAGTACATTACAAATACAACGACTTTAATTTGTGGCTAAGACTATTTTAATTTGTGGCTACAAGTACATTACAAATACAACAACTTTAATTTGTGGCTACAATTACACTACAAATACAATGACTTTAATTTGTGGCCATGACTACTTAATTTTGTGGCTACAAGTACTTACAACTACATTAACTTTAATTTGTAGCTAGAAGTACAACTACAAGCACACACACTTTAATTTGTGGCTAGAATTACATCTACAGGTACAACTATAATTTGAGGCTACAAGTACTCTACAAAAACAAATACTAATTAGCAGCTAGAAGTACAACTACAACTACTTTATTTTGTGGCTACAAGTACAATTACAAGTCAATGTAAATCTGTGGAAACTTTGGACCATCCACATTATCAAAAGCTGAATCATGACAGCTATGTAAGAACCCAGTGAAGTAAATTTTAACAAGCAGAGGTTTGAAGTCGAGATGTTTGTAGGAAGGTTCTGCATGTGTCTGGATTCTAGGGATGGCTTTATAAGGAAATGCAGCTGTGGAGAGAGCAGCCTGAACCAAACACATCTCCGGCGATCCTTTGGCAAACGTTCCAGGAATATATTTTAATTTTTTATGCCTTTTGAGGTATTGTACACGGCTGAAGGTGTGATTTAGGGTTGAGTGTGTTCAGCTGTCAAGAGACCGATTTATTTCTGTAAGAGGAAGGACTGGCCTGCAATTTATACACAAACTAGCATAGCCAAGATATTCTGCACTGCTGCCACAGAAGACATTTTACATTACTGTGCACCGCTCTATTGAAACAATTTGGATTCACCAAATACTGCTGGTGCTACATCTAATTTTGTGCAGATAAGAAGACTTTTCTCATGGACAGACTGATAACAGCAGAAGTAGGATGGTGCCGAAGGGGAAGTATATCACAGGTAAAAACAGACCTGCTATATCTGGAAAAACTGACCAACTATGACAATTTATTTTATTGAGAAAGCCAGACAGACACAGAGCAGGTGCAGTTCTGTGAATAAAACTGTAATGGATGAGTGACACAAGTTTGATCTTCTGAGAGTGCCACTAACTCATATATCAAAAGATCAGTCAAAATACTGTCATCTGTTACTCTGACTGTAAAACAAAATGTGATTGGTTTGAAGTCAGCACCAAGTTATGACTGGTCAGAGTAATGTAGGCGGTAGCAAAGGAATGATTGGGTACATACTAATGATTTTAAAATAACTATGACACAATCTGCATTGGTTAATGACAGCATCCTATATTTGACAAATTTCTTGATCTGTTCATCACTAGTTATAATCTATAATTATCAATTTGCATTCATATTTAAAGGAGTGTGTTCAACAGTAAATTAGTGTTTCTAACAGAACGAGACAAATTATCCAGCTGTTACAATAACTTGCTTTTCATAACTTTGTTATTAATGTCCCAAAGCTTAATAAACAAACGTACATTGACTTTTTTTAGAACAGTAAATCGATATAATAAATCTAATTCCTGAGACTGAGGACCATTTATATAAAATGCAGAAGCCTCCCAGCAGCTCTCCACAGCGCCTCATCAGCACTGCTGTTATCACAAGCACTCATCAGTGCACATTACACATCAGACAGCTGGAGTGTGTAAGACAAGATGATGGAACTGCATCTATTCCTGCTCCAGCATTACATTTATCTCACTGCTGCAAGGCTAAAACACAGCTAAACTAAACATGGAGCTTTACCAGAGATTCCTCAGTCTAGGACAGAGCACAGGAGACTGCAAAATCGATACCATAGATATATACATATACTGTATGTCTGAATGTCACTGCATGACAAAACAGCATGCAGCATCAGCTAACTAATCACGTTACTGATTTGCTCAGAACCAGCTTTTTATACGTTTCATATGTGTTCAAATTCAAAATGGTGTCTATCGTGATTGGAAGATATAATGGTGATCTCAGGGTTATTAGGTTTTAAATTTAAACCTCAGCCTTCACCCTGTGCAGGGCGACAGCTGTCTGACTGGAGGCAGGAGGGGTGCAGTGGGTTTCACTGTGTCACTGAATATTTAAAGGCTTTATTGAGAGGTGGACACACAACAACTAACTCCTCATTGTTTATTTGTGTCAGACCACTGCAGGAGGAAATGATGGGGTTTTAAAGTGGAAATGAAGCAGTCAGTCAAGATTTCCACTTTGATTAATAAATATATAACAAACATGATTAATCTAACCATTTTAAAGAAAAAAGGTTGTTTTATTATAGCTTTTAGAGCAAGGGCGCCGCCATCTTGCATTACCACCACGTGTGACGTTGGCTACAGTGAAGTAATAGAAGCATTTCTTTATTTTGAACACACGAATGTTTTGAAATGGAGGAAGATTACATTGAAAGCACTGTTAAGTCCATAATAAGTGCAATTGCCTATGCATTTGAGCCGATACGGCGATGGGACCGAGCAGTATTAGGGGTTGAAGAAACCGCATCGGTAAAGTGCGGATCGGAAACAATACTCGTTTACGTGGATACTCCTCAAGACTGTAATTCTGACGTGCTTTGTGTGCATTTGCTGATGAAGGCGCGACATAAAGCTCAATTTGGTAGCCTACTCGCATGCTGTCCGAGCCGAGCTGTGGCTTTGTGTGTGTGTGCAGCGCCGCCAGCGTGAAGCCACGAACAGAAATGATCTATCACAACGCCTGAGTACCGCATTTAAATCGCTTTCAGAAAAAGTCTATCACAGCGTGTAAGTACCGCATTGAAATCTATTCCGTGCTGTCTCACACTTGAATAGCTTTAAATACTTTCATATTTAAACTAATAAGGCTTAAAACACGTGAGAATGATAAACTTTATTGAGGAAGCAGCACTGGTCCGATTGTTCAGATAACGTTAGGTGATTAGTTAAACACTACGTCCTGTTAACAGCAGGAAAGCTAATTGTATTCGCAGGTGAACATAAAATATGATACATACAACTGGTGAACCAGTCAATGTAATGCATATGTCTTAATGGTCTGACAAAATAAAATGCGACATGAATGATGAAGCGTCGTCTGGTTACATCACTTTGCGCCTGGCATTATGAAAACAATGTTTGGGATACCACGATCAAAACTTAGCAAATAGACAGTTTGATGTTGAATATTCATCCAAATTATGGTGAAAACCAAATTATTTGTGTGTTAAAATAACATTCGTGTGTTCAAAATGTTAAGAAATGCTTCTATTACTTCACTGGCCATCGGAGCGAACCAACCCCGTGAAGTCACACACAGTGGTAATGCAAGATGGTGGTGCCCTTGCTCCAAAAGCTATAACAAAACATCCTTTTTTCTTTAAAATGGTTACATTAATCATGTTTGTTATATATTTTTTTATCAAAGTGGAAATCACTTTACTAAATAATGTTAACTTAACTGACTGCTTCACTTCCACTTTAAAAACACTCATGTCAGGATGCAGGTCAATTTGACCCATTTGGAGCTGTCTGAAATACTGGGTAACCTATGATACTCTCCTTAAATAAATAATTATACATATAATTTAGTGGCTTTTTTTACATAGAAAATTACAAAATTTCTATTATTATTGCAATGTTGGGGGGTCAAACATTTATGCATTTGATAGATATTTTTATCTGAGAAAAAAAACTTCCCTACAATAAAGGTATATATATGTGTGTGTGTGTGTGTGTGCTGGTTGAAAAAAAAAAAAAAAAAAACAATAAAAAAAAAAAACAATACTGTTTACATTATTCACAGTTACTGTGAAAACCAAATACAGTTTTAAAATATGTTTTCATGTTTTTTTTTTAATGTGAGAAGTAGGGCTGGGCGGTATTTCGAGTTTGTACGATATATCGATATTTTCTTTATAAGTGATTCGATATGAGGCAATACCATTTATATCGATATACAGTTTGATACAAGCGCATCTGAAAATATAGCGGAGGACACAGACTGAGCTGCTGCGGAGAAAGTGCATAATCCAATTAGTTCTAAACATGTGACAAGCTTCAAAACTGGTAAGACATAGTTTATAGTTTGGTTTGGCATATTAGTTTAAGCGGCTCGGCCCGTCATATGCTCTGACAGAAAGGCTGCGTGTGCTGCTGACAGAGACACTAGGCTACTCGCGCTGTTTAATGTGTTGAGATGTTCTGTCTTCCTGAATGCAGAACTTACATTTCACAGGCATATTCTCCGTCTGTAAATGTTAGAAAGCCATGGAAATATTTCCATTTTTCTGTCAGAAGTGCATGAGCCTTCTGCTTTGCGATTCTCCGCTAAACTTCACAGACTTCAGTGAACGAGCGCCGCCGCACGCATGCTCGCCAAACAGACAGAGCTCAATTAAATAGGAGCGCAATAATTCTGACTAAAATATACATTTCGCCAGGGGCGTAAATTTCGTCAAACAGTTGGGGGGGTTAATAAACATAACATTTCTGAGGGGAGACTCAAAATGTTTCTAAACTTAAAACGCATTTTTGCCCCGTTTGTGTTGTTTTACTACTTACACAATTATTTAAAGTATAAAACATTGTTATTTACAATACACAGCGTGGTTTTTAATCATTATATTAGGGGGGACAACCCTCAGATGGGGGGGTCCTGTACCCCCCCCCCCCGGGATTTCCGCCAATGCATTTCGCTGAAATATTTGTAGTTGGACAATAACCGAGACATGTAGAATTTTAAACCTACAAGTAAGTCTATTTTTATGATAGCACTGACTGTAAAGTGACTGTAATGGGGAAATCAAAATAGCCTAAAACAACTTTTAACCCTTTTATGCACATAATATAAAGGCTTACATGGTTACATTCACTTTATTTGTTTTCATAGCTTTTAATATGTATTGTTTTGTTGGACAACATTGGGCGGTAAGTGAAATATATATATATTAAATAGATTTTTTAAATACAAATACAAAAACGAAAATACCGAGATATATACACCGTATATCGCAAATCAGCCAAAAAATACCAAGATATAAATTTTTGCCCATACCGCCCAGCCCTTGTGAGAAGTCAGTATTAGTATTAAAGGATTACTATTATTATTGGATTATTTTTTCATGGACTAGTTTTTTTGTGAATTGTATTGAATCCAATTAGGATCAATCTGACTTCCACTATTACTACTATACACATTTTTAATAACCTAATACAAGAGTCTTTCAAAACATGTAACTCAAAAATGACCATGTAAGTATCACACACACGCACACACACACACACACACTGACCTGCAGTCTCTTCATGGTCTGGGAGTCCTGGTCAGCCTTGACCTTACAGGCCACCAGCAGCTGAGCGGTGGATGCTGCCACCTGTTTGGCTGAAGAAATGAGTTTCTCCTCACTGGCGTGACCCTGAACAGCAGAGTTAGCCGCTTCGCACAGGTTGTTAGTAGCTGCAGCCACCATACGCGCCTAGAGCCAATGAATTCATGGACAAAATATGTTAAACATCCACCTCATCAAAAACCACTATATCGAAATATATTTTAGAAGAAACTGAGAAAGTTAAAGTGCTAGCTCACATTCTGTCATCATCTACTCTCAAAATACCTTCATTTGCGTTTATAATGATATGAGAGCATGATATGACTAAATAATGACAGAATTTTTATTTTTGAGTGAACTACCCTTTAAGCTCAAAAGCTCTTCTAGCTCTACTTGTAACAGTGACCTACAGCAGAAATGAGACCCTGTGACCACTGTCCATCATCCACTGCGTTTGCTGGGATCGCCCCGACCTGACAGAGAGAGAGAAATGCATTACTGTCTGAACAAAGTACAGCATTTCCGGGCATTCTGGATGAAGTTTCCTTCAACAGCATGTTCATCGAGGCACGTTCATACCTTCCCTTGAGCCACCAGCTCTCTCTGAGCGGCAGATGCAGCTTTGACCAGAGCGCTTGTGGCTGCAGCGATGGATTTGGCTGCTTCCAGAATCTGCTCCTCGAAGTTTAGACTCTCATCAGCTTCCTGTTGATCAGAACAGAGCAAAATTCATTTCCATCACTGTCTGAACATTGGGACTGATCTTAAAGGTTTTTCAAATGTGTATGAACATCATCACAATGGTTTTTCATTCCAGTATAGATGAAGATGATGATGATGATGAGGTCATTCATGCTGCATTCATAATTCATATCATTTGTGTTACCTTAAATCCAAATCCAAACTGGGCAATGCAAACGGGAATAGTTACACAAATGTGACACAATAATCAGGAACATCCGCTTCAGAATATATGAGCACTGAGTGGGATTTTCCAAGCTGAATGTAAAATGTCAAGCAGTTAAGCTGCTCCTGAGGGATGTGGGTAAACGTTTCCTCACCTTGGGTTTGGCTCGGGGTTTGAGCTGCTCTAGTTTCTTGGCGGCAGCTTCAATGGCAGCTGCGGCTCCCAGCAGCTCATTTTCGGCGATGACAGTCGGGTCCTCAGGATCGACCCACTCGGTACCTAAAGAAAGCATTGTAACCAATCAAACTCATGTGTGGGATTGTGCTGTGTACCTGTAATAAAACAACTAATGCTATATCTTAGCCTTCCTCCATTCTTCTTCTCTGATTTAAACACTTTCTACAGTTTTGGATTTGGATTTTCGATCATCTGTGGTTCTTTTTATAAATCCTGAGGTTCTAAATGGTGTGCGAATAATTTTACAACAGATTCTACAATATTTTGTAAATGTTTTTCTTCCCTTCTTGAAATAAAAAATAGGGTTGGTTTAATTATTGTAGTATCAGAATGCAAAATACCCTCTTTGCTTATTAACAACAACAACAAAAAACTTATTCAGAATTATTAGTATTAGAAAGGATATACACTACAGTTCAAAAGTTTGGGGTCAGTAAGATTATTTTAGTGTTTTTGAAAGAAGTCTCTTATGCTCACAAGGCTGCCTTTATTTGACCAAAAACAGTAATTTTGTGAAATGGCATTACAATTTAAAATAGCTGGCTTTTATTATACTATGTTTTAAACTGTAATTTATTTCTGTGATCAAAGCTGAATTTTCAGCATCATTACTCCAGTCTTCAGTGTCACATGATCCTTCAGAAATCATTCTAATACACTGATATATTTATGTGGAAACTATGATACATTTTTTTGGACTCTTTGATTAATAGAATGTTGAAAAGGAAAGCATTTATTTGAAACAGAAATCTTCTGTAACATTTTACAGTCACTTTTGATCAATTTCATGCATCCTTGCTGAATAAAAGAGAGAGAGAGAGAGAGAGAGAGAGAGAGAAAAAAAAAAATCACACTGACCCCAAACTTTTGAACGGAAGTATAAATTCATAAAGGAACATATTTTCCTTTATGTGCAATAAAACTGAAGGACAAAGGCAACAGCAGAAAGTGTATCTCATTATATTAAATATATTTTTGTACTCAAACACTAGATAGGTAGAAAGACCTTCATTTTATATTACTTCTCTTCTTCTTTTTTTGTTTTTTTTTACAAAAATTGGTACCTATAGTACGAATCATCTATTTTCTTTAAGACCTCTCTCTCTCTCTCTCTCTCACACACACACACACACACACACACACACACACACACACACACACACACACACACACACACACACACACACACACACACACACACACACACACACACACAC